AATGGTAAGAGGAGAAAAATGAGGTTGGGGATGAAGCGAAGAGGTAAAAAAATAAATAAATAAAGTGAGCTCTGCACATGCTAATAAACATGGTGTGCCTTGAACCAAGGAGATGGCTAATTCATTCTGTGTACATGTAATTTCAGCAAACAGAAAACTAAACCAAAATAAAGCATAAGTTAATATTTAAAATATTAACCCAATGCATGTGGAAAAAGAACTCAAGTGAGTGGCTGTGAATAACCAGAGGCCTAATGTGTGCCCCAGGGTGGCAGGGGGGCTGGCTCTCACTCGGGCCTCCGGGCAGAGTGGAGCCTGAGGGCAGCCTTGGGCAGTGCCAGGGGAAGTCGAGTTCCCAGAACCTTCAGACCCCTGTGATTTTCCAAGGCTGATCTTATTCTGGGGTCACTCCATGTTGTGGCTTGGAGTCTCTTTAAACACAGATACTTAGCCTCCTTCCAGCACGGCTGACTGCTATCAGGGCACATGCTGGGTCACGAGATTTTCCCATAGAGATTGTCATCTCGGGGTGGTTTCAACCTATTATTAGCCTCAAGCTCCTCTGACAAAGTCAGGATATTCTGGGAACAAATCCTCCTTCAGCCCACCTTTTTTTTTGCATGCCTTCAGTACCAAAAGCTGCTTCTCCAACAACATTTTACACAGTCTAAGCTAGACTGTCCAGGTTATCTTTTCTTGGGATGTGAGAGGACAAGGGGAGAGTAGTTCTAGCCAACAGCTCTGACTCTGCTCAAAGCCCCGCTCACAGGAATGAAGGGGAGAAAGACAAGTTATTTGTTGTCTCCTGAGCCCATCCTTTTTCTCCCCGCTACTCCCTTTCCTTTTGCAAACATTTATTCAGTGCAGAGCACGCACCAGGAACAGTGTTGGGCATTGTAGGATTCAAATCTGATGTCGCCTGCTCTCAAGGAGGTTAAAGTCTGGTGGGGACCAAGGAGTGCGTGTGGTCAAGCGTTTTAGAGATTTGTGAGGTGAAGGGTGCTCGGAGGCCACAGAGGTGGGCAGCTACTTCAGATGGGAGGGCATCAGGGGTGGCTTCTTGGAGGCAGTGCTTCATGCGGAATCTGAAAGGATAAATAGAGTTAACAAGAAGGGGATAGGTCTTCCTGCTGGAGGGAAGAGCATATGCAATGTCCGGGAGCCAGGAAACAGCAGGAAGCAGTGAGTAGCTCATCACATCTGGGCCCTGGAAGAGCTGGAGCGCTGGGACTTAACTGATGTCCCGTCTCCTCTCTGAAACCTGCAGAGCTGCCTCAGCCTCATCATGTTCCCCTCCTCTGAATTCTTGGACCCACCTTTTACAGTCACGTTTCTCTACTGTTACGATATTATTTTATTTTATTTATTTTATTTTTGGTGTGAAGGTTTCATTTCCCAGTGTTGACTCGGAGAGGGGCCCACTAGCCCAGCGCTTCCCCCACCCAGTGCCTGGCATTTAGCCTTCACTCTCCTATGGATGGGCCTGACTCACCCAATTCTGAGCAGATATGCTGTTCAGTGAGGAGGCAGACTGAGGCAGTGGGTAGCAGCACCAAATCCCACCCCCGGAGCATTAGGCTTTTGTCTGAGAGGCCTTTGTCGGGGGGTACCCGAACTGGGCTGACACAGGTGAACATCTGGGAGAGAGATCTTCAAGTCTGTGGTAGCCAGCCTCGAAGATGGTACCCAATGATCCCCACCTCCTGGGTTCATGCCCTTGGGTAGCCCCCTCCTTCACTGAAGCAGGATGGGCCTACGTGACCAACGGAATACAGCAGAAGAGATGGTATGTGCCTTTGAGGCCAGCTGAAAAAAGACATTAGACTTCTGCCTCAGTTTCTGTCTTGGACTGCTCACTCTGGAAGAAGCCATCTGCTACATTGTAAGGACACTCAAGCAGAGATATCAGAAGTCCACATGGTGAGGAACTAAGGCCTCCTGCCAGCTGCCATGTGAGGAGCCACCTTGGACACACACCCTCCAGCTCCAGTCAAGCTTTCAGATGACAGCAGTGTTGGTCAACATCCTGGCCACAGCTTCATGAGAAACCCTGAGCCAGATCCACCCAGCTTAGCTGCTTCCAAACTCCTGACTCTTAAACACTCTTAGGGATGATAAATGTTTGTTTTTAAGGCCATGCATTTTAGGCTAATTTATTACATAGCAATAGATAACCTACACAAGCACTTAGTAACTCTGCATTGAGAAGCTGTTCAAGGAGGCTTCTTGGCTGCGGTGTTGCTTCCTCTGACAGGAAGAAATATTAGGCCTCCCAAAATGTCACACCCCTCGCCCCCATTTCTTTCTTCACTCCTTCTTCCTCCCCATGCACTTCCCTTGAAGAGACTAATAACCCAACAGCAGACTAGAAAGAAATCTCATCTGAACTTCCCTGACCTGACTACATGGAGCTTTAGGAATAGCAGCTGCCACAACCCCACCCCTACTGCTTGGAGGAGGTCTGCAGTCTGGGAGGCACTGACCTTGGGCACAAGGATATTCCCAGAGAAATTGTGTAAACAACCCAAGCCTCATCAGAACTTTCCATCCTGACCCTAACAAAAGCCCTAACCCTTGGTTTTGTTAAGTTTGTATATAAACCTTCACCTCTGTTTATTCAGTGACTTACTAACTCATTAGTCCTATGCCCACACTCAGTATGTGTACAAACCTCATCTTTTCTCTTGTTAATCTATCTACTGGCAGTTAATTCACATGCCCCTACCACCACCTCTCAAACCCAAATTGGTAGAAGAAAAGTTTTTCCTCTCCCCGTTCTCAAATCAAAGGAATCCCAGGGGCTGTGAAGTGGGAAGTTCTGGAGCCCTTGGCACTGAGTTTTCTGTCTGAACAACCACGTCTGTAGCAGAAATGCCTCAGGGATTCAGAGTCCCCTCACTCCAGGCTCCCACAGAAATCCAACTGCTGGACCTTAGGTCAGTGAAGCAAGAGAGTAAGAAGCTAGAACATTCGTTAGCAGGTGGAATGGGGAAACTGAGACAGCCAATTGAGACTGACTCCATCCAGCGCTGTGACCACCTGCCTCCTTCTCCTTTGCACAACCACCCCATTACGCATTAAGCCCTCAGGACAATGTGGTCCTAGTCAGCATCAGATAATCAGAGACAAAGTTTTGATCAAACTAGAGATAACATCTAGGCCTCAGTTGTGTTTAAACTTTAGACCCAGAAAAGCAGCAAAACCAGAGAAAACGACCCCAAGGCTGACATCAGGACCAGATGCAATGAACAATGACCTCCCTACCCTAGTGCCAACCAATCAGTAGAGACCATGACCCTGACCTTTTATGTTCATTTTGATTAATCAGCATATTAAAGGACACCCCTGGAAAGCTGGTAAGTATTTTATGGAGATCCTCTCCCCAAGACCTCCCCTAAAATTCCTGCCTTTAGAAAACAAGTAAGAACTCTCGAGACAAAGGACAGAGTACTTGCTCTCTCTCTAGAGCATGCCTCCTCCCCTCCGCCCAGCCCCCCCTTCCTTCTTCAGGCCTGTATCTTTGCTTTCTTTCTCCTAAGCTCCAAGGACCCTTCTTTTGCCTCTGTAACTTGATTCCTGAGTCCACACAACCCAGCTGGCTCACTTCTTCTGCCATATGACTTTCTTTCTAAAAGGCTAAGGTGGCTTTCTGAGCAGTCTGCTTGATTCTTTCTTTCAAGTGTACTTTGCTTTGCTTGCTAAATAAACTTCCTCTTGCACGAGAGTTCTTGGCTATGGATACTTTCTTTGCTGTACTCAATACCCAAGGTTGCTGAACTGAGCCCACATGGCCACTAACAATAGCAGGGGCAACTGTTGACTTATACAACGTGGCATATCTTGGTCTGTAGTAGATTCCTGTTGGATTTCAGCTTATTTAACAAACACGCAGTACTTGCTATGTGCCAGGCTCTGTTCTAAGCTCTTGATAAAAATTAAGTCATTTAAACCTCATAACAATCCTCTGAAGTAAATGCTATTGTTGTCTTCATTTTACAGTAAGGATATACAGGCACAGAGAGGTTGAACAATTTGCCTGAGGTCACACAGTGAGTGAGTAGCAGAGCGGGGATCCATTCCCCAGGAGCCTGGTTTTATGCTCTGTCCTGAGATGAGAATTGATCTAAAGTTTGTTCAGTGAGAGATCTGTGCTGCTGGGGCTCTGTGTCTTGGCTAGGGCCCCTGGGGCTGGACAGGGTTATGTATTTCAGTGCTCGTGACAGGAATCATGGAGGTTCACATCAAAGCAGGGCAGTGACTCCTGAGGAAGCGAGGCCATATGCTTACCAGGGGAAACCAGGGGATTGGGGGTGGGGTAGGGATAGGAAAGTCAGGGGACTGTTCCAAGGTCAACCGGTATATTCAGCCTTGAGGGTCGGCCTGAGCCCTGCCTGGGCTGAGCCCCTGTCTGAAGACGCTCATTCCTGCCTCCTTGGCTTAGCTCAGCCGAGTACCCTTGGGGGTGCCCCTACACTTCCCCATCTGCGAACAGCAGTGGTTCTCAAGCAAGGGCAGTTTTGCCCCCCCAGGGATATGTGGCAATGTCGAGAGACCTGTTTTGTTTAATTTTAATTTTATTTTTATTGTCACAACTAGAAGACTGCTACTGGCACCTAGTGAGAAGAGGTCAGAGATGCTGCTGAAAGTTCTAAAATTCACAGGATGATGGCCCCTCACAACAAAAAATTAACCTCATCCAAAATGCCAATAGTGCCACGATTGAGATACTGACCTGGGCACATCTCACAGCTTCCTTAGGGCAGAGGACCCCTCTGCCCCACACGATCTGATTCCTGTTATGGTGGTGGCCTGTGGTCCTGGGGGATCTCACCTCAGCATGTCTGAGAGACCACAAAGAACATGAATGACTCAGTCTGCACACCAGCTACAAGTTCTTGGAAATAAGGATGTTGACTATTGACAAATAAACTGTTACGTTCCCCGCTGTTCGAATTACTCCAGGACACAGGATTTCTCACAAGCGCTTTATTAGTTGGCCAAATGAACCTGCGCAGGGGCAGACCCTCCACCTACGAAGGGCTGCGCCGCTGCTAAGGCACTAGGGTTTTTATACACAAGCGGAGCAAGCAAGCAGGATACAAGGGCGAGAAGTGGCAGTTAGCGATAGGCTACTTTAGGCAGCTTCTTTTCTGCTGAGTGGGTTCAAGGCTGTTACTGGGCCCCCCTTTTCTGTCTTTCTCTGGGCAGGATGTTTATCTGAGGCAAGGCTCAACTGTTGCCCCATGCCTCCTCCTCATTCTTGTCGACTCTGGCCCAGCTGCATGGGGCCGCACCCTGATATGTTTTTCTTGGTATTTGTTCCTCCCTTATCCTCAGCTTTGACCCTGCTCTCACGGCCCCCTCATTCCCCCCTTTTCTTGTTCATACCTTGTCAAACCCTTGACTCAGTGTCTTCTGCGGCCAGCAGAGTATAGGGTTGGGATAATACCATTAGTTTAACAACCTCAATTCGGATTCGCACAAATGCCACTAGCTTATTCAGGATTAGAGGACCAAACAACAGGATCAGCAGGAGGATTAGAATCGGTCCTGCTAACGCTGAAACCAAGGTAGTCAACCAAGGTGAGGCTTTAAACATGGAGGCATACCAGGAGGAGTCACTCTCTTCACTATCTCTTTCTTCTAACCTACGGGTTAAGATTTTGATATTTTCCCTTATTACTCCAGAGTGGTTTGCATAAAAACAACATTCTTCTCCTAATGCGGCACATAGTCCCCCTTGCTTCAAAAACAGAAGGTCTAACCCTCGCCTATTTTGGAGGGCCACCTCTGCCAGTGAGTCTACTTGCTTCTCTAGATATATCACTTGCTTCTGTAGCAGGGACACATCCTTGGAGAAGGTCTGCGATAGCTGCCTCAGGCTCAATTCTCCCTGCACAAGGGCACCTGCCCCTAGGGCAGCGGAGCCTACTATCCCAATTGTGGCTACGACGGGAACGAGCAGAGGGACCCTCTTAATTCGAGGGGAAGGTTGTAGCAAGAAGTTGGAATCTCCCCCGTATAGGTAGACTTGAGGGATGATGTATGCGCTGACACAAATATCAGGGTTTATGGGGGCTATGCACTTCATGACTCCCCTTGTACAGGCAAACCATAGTCCCTCCTGAGCTTTCAAAACTTCGGGTTCCCCGTCTTGTATGGGGGTCTGTTCCTGCATATACACATAACTGGTACAATAATTTTCATATAATGAGGATGAGAAATTGGCCAAGAGATAGCATGTCCCTTTTCCATGAAAATCTGCTAATTTTAAAGCGGTCTCCTGGTGACACTCTGGCATATGATACTGATAATTATCCTTGGTCACTTTGATGGGCTTTGAGGAATTTTCTGTGGTATTTGCCCCTACCCCAATATAAAAGGGTGGACGGGGACTGAGACATAGCCAGCACGACTCTGTCAGACCGGGCTGGGTATTGTTTAAATAGGGGAAAAACCTATTGAGGAGGTCTAAGGCATTTGCTTCCTGCTCAGGCGGCTTTCTCTGTTCCTTAGGCCAGGGTTTGTCCGGTTTTTGACTGGTTCCATCCCTCACTAGGCCCCAGGAGACTATTGTAGTCAGTCCTATTTCCTGTGCTATTCCCAGAATCTCTCAAGGTGGAACTTTCTTCGGGGGATGCCGTGCCTGTAGGAACAGGCCGGGCGGGCAGGTGTAGCCCTCCCCCTATGCCTCTTAGCAAGGGTCGATTCACTAAGGGTATTCTGCGAATAGTAAAAAAGGTTCCCGGGTCTGTCCCTGATACGTAGAGCCGGATACCCCAGGTTCGGCCCTTCGTCCATTCAGGGTCCTGGGGTTTCAGGACCGTGACTACAACTGGGTTGCAATTGTCTAGGGCACAGGCGTTATTCCACCCAGAGCTGGGCTTCATAGTTTTGTTGCGGATCAAGGCTATATGGGGGTCTTTGCCCCCGCCTGGATTCCAACCCCCGTCCGTGAGGGTCTCGCAACCCCAAGCTTTACAATAGAAGTCTGTATAGGATCCGCAGGTCCGCCTCCTCCCCGGGGGTGGCTCAGGGCAGGCATAGTAAGGGGTGTACCATAAAGCCCTATTCTTGGTGTTGGGGTCACAATCAGTTAGGCCTATTGTATAGGCAGAGGGGAGATTGTCCTGGAGGGGGCCCTCCACGGAATCAGTATGTCTCCATGCTGCTGGGGAGTCACAAAATTTGTCATCAAAGAATTTAGAGAAATCTACCCTAAAGGAAACAATCCTCTCCCCCCAAGCTTGATTCTTTGCAATAACAGTTCTATCTTTTGTTCGTATTAACACCCACTCGCGGGGTTCATACCCGTTTATCTCCTTCGATAGTCCAGTCAGTATTAAGAGCGGGAAAAAGAGAGTCTTAAGGGTTTTTCTGGGTCTTGCCGGACCCTCCATGGTTTCTTTTCCCCAGGATCCTGCGCGAGTTTCACGTGGGATATGTGTATCCAGTAGGGTTTTTCGGCTACTCGAATAGCCGATGGGGTGCTCAGCAGTACCTGGAATGGCCCAATCCACTGGGGTTCAAGGTTTCCTCGCCGGTGGTTCAGGATCCATACCCATTGTCCAGGGTTTAATGTCCTCAGTTCGTTCGCGCTATCTGCCTCAGTCGTGGCCTGTTTCTCCTCCCGCAGGCGGCGAACCTCCTCTCTGATGACTTGCAGTGCCTGTAATGACTTGAGGAAATAATGGTTAGAGGCCTCTATCTCCTCTCTTGTCAGTCTGGGCACCAGGGGCACTGGCTGCCCATATATGATTTCATAGGGGGTCCAACCCCCCTACATAAGGGGTACATCTGACCCTAAACAGGGCGAAGGGGAGCAACTCTACCCAGTTCTCGCCGACTTCCTCCTTCAATTTCATTAATGTTTCCTTTAAAGTTCGATTCACCCTCTCTACCTGTCCAGAACTTTGTGGTCGGTATACACAGTGCAATTTCCAAGTGATGCCTAATCTTCCCGCCAAATTTTGGGATATCTGTGATACAAAGGCGGGCCCATTGTCCGAGCCGATGGCCACGGGAATTCCATATCTTGGAATTATTTCTCGGACTAGAATCTTTCCTACAGTGGCGGCAGTTTCACCTTTTGTGGGGAAGGCTTCAACCCATCCCGAAAAGGTGTCAACTAAGACTAGCAAATATTTGTATCCCGACCTTCCTGCCGTCATTTCGGTGAAATCGACCTCCCAGACCTCTCCGGGGGTACTTCCCTTGTGCCGGATGAATCGTGGGCACTTCTGATTCTGTGCGTTTACCCTGGCGCATGCCTGGCATCTGGATACTACAGACTCTATGACCTCCCTTAGATTAGGAGCCCTGTAATATTTTAATATTAACTTTTCTAGTTTTCCTTGGGGCTGCTTCAGGACAGAAAAGGTGGCTCCCGTGTCGACTAGGAAATCAACTGGTCTTCCTTCGACTGTCAAGGTGACCATGGGCTCCCGGGAGCCAATGCTTATGGAGCCCTGGCCCCGTCAGTCTAAGGTCTGCAGGAGCACCCCGGGGGTCCCCCTTAGCTCCTCTATCCCCTTCCTCTTCCCCCATGACTGCCTTCCCTGCCTCCCTTAAAATTCTTTCCCTTTCCTCTGAGGTGAACAGGGTTTGCAAGATTTGTTGGCAGTCATCCCATGTGGGCTGGTGGGTCCTGAATATGGTCTCTAGGAGGGAGATCAGGCCCTGAGGTTTCTCCGAGAAAGGGGGGTTTTGGTGCTTCCAATTATACAAGTCACTCGTGGAGAAGGGGACATAAATTAACCTTGGCGGAGCCCTTGGGGCGTCCGGAGCAGTTGGAACCTCTCGGAGGGGTAGCATAGCAGCTTCCCCAGAGCCGGGGCCAGCCCTCTCCCTGCCTTCTCGGGCTTTGGCCTCCCCGCTGCTATAAGAGGTTCCACCCGGGGTGTGGGATGGGCTCATAACCTTCTCAGGTTGCCCTGAGGAGTCTGGTACGGCTGGGGCTTGGTAAGGGGGTGGCGCACTAACTGGGTCTAGAGGATCCTCGGGCTGGTTAGGCAGGACCGGGTACAAACGGTTTTCTTGGGCACCAGGGACCGGTTTTTGCTCGGCGGCTTCGGCGCGCCTGCCTCCTACCGGTACCGCCCTAACTCCCTGTCCAACGGCAACGCACACTGCCCTGCCCCGCCGGTTTGCCCCCGCCTGCCCTTGGGCACATTTCCGAACATAGCCAGGTCGGTCCGTGGCGATGTCCGTCCAGACATTTATATATTTGCTGGTCTGGGTGGGGCACCACATAGGTGACCCTCTGGACTGAGAAACAGACTGGCAGCTGAAAGGTTCCCTCGGGCGGCCACCCGGCATTAAAAGCGGGCCACTCAAGCGGGCAGAACGTCCTGAGAGCCTCCGGGTCTGGGGGCGAACCCCCATACCGCTCTGCCCGCTTCCTGGAATCAGAGAAATTTTTTAGAACACAATCCAAGGGAGAGCCCTGGACCGCCCCTGTGGATCCCCCTTGGCCCATGTCTCCTTGTATCCGGATCCAAAGCTCGTGACCTACGAGGCTAAGAAAGGTTAAATGAGGCAACCAGCCAGACACTACACTGCCCTTTCACTCACACCATTCACCCTCCGGCCGGAGTCACACAGACGGGTTTTTCGCTGCGCCAGAACCGAAACTAAAGTTTCCCTTTTCCTCGGCGGCTTCTAGCCGCAGCTCCTAGGGGCGTCCCCCTCTGTTCGGAGCCCCCTGGGTGGAGTACCGGCAACGCCTCGCCTACCACCTCAGGGCTTATTCCGACGTCCCCACTGTCCTAGAGAGGATCCTCAGTTTCACTTACCCAACTCCGAGCGAGCTGGCCTCTCGGTTCCTGGTCCTTCTGCTCCACAAAGGGAGATCTCGCTGGGGCCTCCAAATGTTACGTTCCCCGCTGTTCGAATTACTCCAGGACACAGGATTTCTCGCAAGCGCTTTATTAGTTGGCCAAATGAACCTGCGCAGGGGCAGACCCTCCACCTACAAAGGGCTGCGCCGCTGCTAAGGCACTAGGGTTTTTATACATAAGCGGAGCAAGCAAGCAGGATACAAGGGCGAGAAGTGGCAGTTAGCGATAGGCTACTTTAGGCAGCTTCTTTTCTGCTGAGTGGGTTCAAGGCTGTTACTGGGCCCCCCTTTTCTGTCTTTCTCTGGGCAGGATGTTTATCTGAGGCAAGGCTCAACCGTTGCCCCATGCCTCCTCCTCATTCTTGTCGACTCTGGCCCAGCTGCATGGGGCTGCACCCTGATATGTTTTTCTTGGTATTTGTTCCTCCCTTATCCTCAGCTTTGACCCTGCTCTCATGGCCCCCTCATAAACCTGACATTATTTTGTATCAGGCTCTGTAACAAGTGTTTTACACATTTTATCTTATTTACTTCTCATAAGCTTGCTTTAGGTGCTATTATTAACCCTATTTAATGATTGGGAAACTAAGAATGATAAATGTTAAATAACTCATAAGTGACAGGGCCCGGTTTCTAGCTTACCCAGGTAATCTGGCTCCAGTGCTGATACACTTATCTAGGCAAAGACTGTAGGTTCCCAGGGAGAGCCTGCCTGAGGTCAGGGACCTCTACTCTCCCCTGGGACAGAGGGATCAATCAGCACCACTCACTCCACAGCACAGTTGCAGCCAAGATTCTCGGGAGCTGGGCAGACAGTGGCTTGACCTGACCTGGTTCTTTAAAAAGGGAGAGGAATAGTAGAGAGAAAGGTTTGTTTTAGTTCAGGAACAGTTAAGACAGGGTACTGGGCAGGGAAGAGATGGGTGAGGAAAGGAGGCTTAGGAGCTTTTTATTATTTATTATAGCAGGGGAAAGAATGGGAGGTTTGTTTCTAAGACATAAATACCCTTCTTTGATCTCTGTGCTTATCAGAGATAAAGGAGTCACTGGGGCCTCAGAAATGAGTGATGCTAGCATTAGTAATTCTCACCAAGCTGTACTCTAAAGCAGCTGTGTCAGGATTTGACCATGTTTGAGAGGAGGCAGGACTGAAGTGGGGAGTCCCTGCAGTGATCAGTGTGCAGAGATGAAATCAGCCTCAGTTCTTAAGCCAGAGAACAGTTAGAGCTAGACCCCCAACTTCTGGGCTCTGTTCACCCTGTCTTTGCCTTCAGGGCTCTGCCCAATCTTGACTCCACGGAGAGGGGATGGGTCCTGTGTGTTTTCAGAGCTGCAGGGACATCGGAAAGCTCTTCAGATGGCTTTGGTGCAAAATTAACATCCAACGACCCTTCCGCAGGGCGCTGCCCAGTCAGATTCCGGAAGAGCTTTGAAGTTTCCTTTGTGTGCTTGTTTTCACAGCCCTGAGCCTGCTGTCCTGGAAGTAGCCTGCAGCCCTGCCCCATCCCTGGAGATTGATTCTCAACCTACAAAAGTATTAGGAAAATCCTGTGAGCTCTGCTCACCATCCCCAAGTCACTGACTGCCTTTTTCTCTAGGTTAAAATGCAAAGGAGACCTCAGATCCCCCACCAGGAGACATTCTTTGCGTGTTTTTATTTCTCTAGAGACTTTCTGATGACCTCTAGAACCGGATCTGAGGGCTGGAGCTTCCCAGAACTGTGCTTGGCGGGGATGGGGAGGACTTAGTAACGGTGAAGGTGAGTGAACAGGATTATCCCTGCAGGCCACGCAAGCCCAGGGCCAGTTCTAGGCAGAGCCCAGCAAAAGAAAAAGCCGGTGGATCCAGCCTTTCCAGTCATGACCAGTGAGCCAACCACTGAACTTCTTGTAGCCAAACACCAGTCTTAGGGATCTTTATCCCCCTGAGCTACGCAAAACAGTCTCTGCTATCATATGGCTCAAGTTCCCCGAAAGATAGTATTGAAAGAGGAAGAGAGGGGAGGAACAGGAGAGGAGGTAGAGGAACAGGAGAGGGGAGAATAAAGATAGAAAGACAGATAGGGAAGGAAGAAGTGAGTAAAAAAAGAAGGAAAGGAGGGAGGGAGGGGAGCAAAGGATCCCAAACCAATCTGCTTTGCTTTTCGGAGTAAAGACTCTGATCAATGGTGCCATCTTGTGGTTGTGAGGGGGAATTACAAGCAGCGCGCGCGCGCCTCTGTCTCCCTTCCCACCTTCTTCTCCACTTCGGTTCTATATTCCAGAATAATATTTCTATATACAAGGTTTTACAATGGCACTGTCCAAAAACAATATTCACTAACCACATGAGTATTTATACTTAAATGTAAATTCATTACAATGAAATAAAATTTAAAATTCACTTCTCAGTCACACTAGCCACATTTCAAGCCCCATGTGACTAGTAGCTAGTACACTGGACAGCACAGAAATAGAGGACTGCAAATGCTGCAGAAAGTTCTACTGGGCAGTGCTGTTGACTAAAGATCAGAGTTGTCACTTGGTGGAGCAGTATAAAAATTCAGAGGAAGTATATAGTTTAGAGCCTGCTTTATACTTTCAGGGTGACCTCTGGTTAAAGATTTTGAAGAGCAGTTTTCCCCCAAACGATTTGTTTCTAGTGCTGGAGAGGGCCTCAGCAATTGCGGGACAGTGTTGTATTTTGGAAAGAACACTAGACTGGGAGTCAGATAGACCTGGGTTCCAGCCTCGGCTCCGCCATTAAAGCCTCTCTGGGCCTTTTTCCTCATCAGTCAAATGATTCCTCTAGAGTTTTCCAGTTCTACCAATTTATGATCTGCCAGGGTTTGATGAGAGCTTACGTAGAATCAGAAAGGCAGTGTGGAAGGAACAAGCCTCTGGGCTATGTACACCCATGGTGTCTGCTACTGCAGGGCACAAGCCATGGCTCTTGCCATCCCTATCCCTCATCAATCTGTCCTCAAAGCCATTATAAACTGCATCCCTTTCACATGTCTCTCGGGTGCCCAGTAGAATACCTGCTATTTGGTGTATGACTCAACCCTAACTTGAAGATTTATTCACTCTTCAGCAAATATTTATTGCACTGTTTTTATAGGCCAGGCACTGTCCTAAGACTTGGGGACCTGTCTGAAAATAAAAGCACCTCCATTCATGCATCTTATATTTTAGCTGGGGGACAGTTATTAGGTTCATACATATCTAATATAATGGCAAGTGGTAATATGCACAATGAAGGGAAATCAAGCAGGGGAATTGTAGGGCTATTTCAGATGGGGTAATTGATCAGGCACACTTTTATAAGCAGGTGACATTTGTGCAGTGACCTGAATGCAGTGAGGGAGAAGGCCAAGTGGAGATTTGAGTGGAGAAGGAGTTGCACATGTTAAGGAACAAAGGTTGAGGCTGTCCTTGTCCCTTTGTGTGGATTTCCTTGGGGCTGTGGCTCCAGGTTAAGCGGCTATAGGAGATGACACGAGGTAATCTAGGGGTCCAGGGTCTATGAGTAGATACGACATTTATCCCTTCTCTAGTGACCCCTGTCTTTGACATCCAAAGATACCTTTATAGAAATCCACCTGCTAAAGGCCCACAGAGCATATGCGGAGGCCGTGCTCCACGTCTGGACTCAGAACCTTCCAGCTCCCATCCTTCCGAATACAAAAGCTGACTTTTGATGTGAGAATTCCCACACTGGGTCAGTGTTTTTTTCCCCCCAAATTGCTAGGTTCCTTTCTGTGACCAATACAGATCCCACAACTCGGCCTCTGCTTATATCCAGCAGCCCAGATCGCCCACTGATTGTCTCCACTGACATCAAAGTTGGAATAAAAAAAAGAGCAATTCTTTCAGAGCGAATGCCCAAGTTTTAGAGAGCTGGTTATTAGCCAGTCTGTGTGCCAGGCTGGCCAGCTCTATCTTTTGCTCACTTAACGAACAAGGCAAAGTTCACAGGCCATGTTTTGTTCATTTTCCAGGTTAACATATGAAGCACAGTTTGCAGGTGTGCTTGCAGAATATCACCTGGAACATTATTTGGAAGCAGGGGGCAGGTGCTAAGCTTATTTCTTTATTTCTGAAGGCTTATATTCTCTACAGACAGAGAGCCAGTTGTTTATAAGTAAAACTGCTACAAGCTACACGGCTTTCAGGGCCCAGTGGGTTTGCTTTTCCAGCGTGAGTCAGCAAGAATCAGCCAAATGTTTTCTGAATGGCCTCTGGGTGGACAAGGTAACTGGTTTCATCAGATGAGTTGATTCAGCAGGTCAGAAATGCCTGTGGCAAGAAGTCTGAGGATTTGTTTGTTTTTTTAGGGTTTGCACTCATACTGCCCAGGGCAGCTTGCATAGGAGGTGTGGTGGGGATGTCCCACAGGGCATTTTCTAACCTTGGTGGCTAGAGGCAAGTGACCTCTACCAAAATACAAAACGAAACAAACAAATCCCCACTTGAATGTTACAATTTTTCCAATGAATTTAGTCTTTTAGTTTTTGTGGTGTCAGCAACTGTTTTCTGTGGTGTGTCCTTGACATTTGATGATTTCAGAGGAAGCCCTGTGATGAAAAAGTGTAACCTGTTGCTCGGAACGGGTATGTTAGGAAACTTGGGCTGAGTCAGCTCTGAGCTCCTGCCTTTGAGTTCTCACACTTTCTCTTTCAAGGCCAGTGTCTCTTGCTCAGATAGGTTTGCTTGGTAATACTGTGCTGTTACAGAGCTCCCGGGGACATCTGCCTGCATCTGGGAAAGGCCCGTTGGAAGGGTCCCCCACGGGTGGATCCTGTGCAGGGCCTGTGCATAGGGAAGACAGCCGCCTTGAAGCTAATCCAGCCTCTATCTACCTAGATTAGAAGCCACAGTAGACTCTCCTAAATAAAATTCGCAACCAGGGCGAAGAATGACCTAGCTGTCCCCTCCCTGCCATGAGAAGCAGGTCTTCTACTACCACATCTCCAGTGAGAGCGAGAACGGCATTTGCCTCTGTGTGGTTTTCAGCTTGAGGAGGCTGGCGGTGGGGGTGGGGGCGGGGGCGGGGCGGGGGGGGGGCGCGGCCGTGGTGGCAACAGCTCAGGGCAGGGATACTTGGCTGCTGCCGGTGGGAGTGTCAGTCGTCACAGCATTTCAGGAGGCCTGTTGGCAAGAAGAATCATGCCCAGGTCAGTCCTAGCTTATTGGGAGTTATCAGTTGCTGTTAGTTTTTAAGTTTACCCGTTTTTCATTCTCAAAAATGTGCTGCTTTGGAGGATAAATGATGTGATCCCCCAATCTTTGGGGTACCATTAGGGAATGTGTACAAAGGTGTTGTTCTAGGGATGTTTACTACGGGGCTACCAGGTAT